ACACAACGAGAGAGAGGGGGGGGGGGGGGGGGAGGGGGGGGGGCACAGGATGGACTGACTGACTGACTGACTGACTGACTGACTGACTGACGGACAGATGTACAGGTCAGTGGGCACAGACGCTCGCCCCCTTACCTCGGTCAGTCCAGCAGTAGGGGGGGGGGCTGTGGTGCTCGTCGTGGGAGTACATAGTGACTCCGTGTAACTGCTGAAGCATCGCTCTCCTGGATGCATAACCTAGTCACCCCCCGACCCCCCCAGAAGAACAAACCACATCGGCCGAGGTCCCAGGAAACAAAGCCACACGAGCGGCCACGACGTAAACACACACACACGGACACAAACCAACATCCATCATCCAACATCCATCATCCATCCATCCAGTCAACAAACAGAAACAGAAGACGGCAGAACCAGAACATGACAAGAAAGGAAAAGAGAGAGAGAGAGAGAGAGAGAGAAAGATGAAACTGATGGAAAAACTGAAGTCACTTTGTTTTTAGAAAAATACAAAAAGGAGAAAATACCACATAGAAATTCAGTTTGTACTACATCAGTTTGTACTACATCAGTTTGTACTACATCCAACCTCTAGTCTCAGAAACGACCACATTTGTGCAGCGATCCAGGGACAGACTGTCCTGAACTACAGTCTGGAGAGACAGACAAAGACAGATGGAGCTGATGTCTACGTAGAGGTGATGAAGACTGTGATGAAGACCACAGCAGTTGACGTTGTGTCATTTCAAGTACTCTGTTTGGTTGTGAAGAGCAGTGAGTCCGTGGTACTTCTTACATCACAGTACCTTCTAATATCAGGCTGGTGGAGTCAGCGTGGACGTAGGTGTGTGGAGGAGCAAACTCAAACATCGCTCCAGCATCTGGCACGGTGAGTCACCGCCGCACAGTGGAAGACGTTACAGTGATGTTACAGTCTTTAAATAAAAACACCACAGTGTGTGTGTGTGTGAGTGTGTGTGTGTGAGTCAAACTGACGTTTCTCATTTACACACTGACAGATAAACGTTACAATTAAACACGTTATACGTTGATTTTAAAATCACTCATCCACAGCTAAGCTAAGCTACTGTTGGATGGTTTTTACACACTGACAGATAAACGTTACAATTAAACACATTATACGTTGATTTTAAAATCACTCGTCCACAGCTAAGCTAAGCTAAGCTAAGCTAAGCTAAGCTAAGCTACTGTTGGATGGTTAATATTTAACGGTTGTGCTGACTCAGCAGTACAGGACACAGCCGCCGTAGTTCCGCCCCCCGCCCCCCATCATTAGCATCAGCCCCGTCTCCTGCGCTGCTTGTTGACCTTCAATTATCCTGGTGATCCTGCTGGCTCTTCACTGAGGCAACTCAGTGTCAGTGATTAACAACAGTGCCAGAGGTGGCCAACAGAATATGCAGTACTCTGAAAGTACATGCAGAGAGAGGCAGGTGGTTCTTCTCTTACTTTAAACAGTGTCTCACATCCTCTCCTGTACTGTGTTTAACCTGTTTAAAAAATAAATTGAAGTACTACTAGTAGTAGGAATACTTGATGGTTCTGGCTGATCCAGTCAGACTGGTGGTACTCTGGGAAGTGAACTGATTGGCTGATGATGTTCAAACCAAAGTTCAGTTAAACAGAACTTGTCTTTTCATGAATTCCTGAAGTATTTCCCTGTAGGTACAGCGCAGTAGAACAGGTTCCTGGCTGTTTGCTCTGCTGAAGGTCATGACGCCTCCACAGTGGCTTCAATAAAACATTCAGCTTCACCTGATAAATATTCCCTTCACCCTGGGCTCCAGGTCACAGTCGTATAATGAGGCCGAGCGTTGCCTCCATGTTACTGCAACGTCGCTGTCTAAGAATCAGCAGTGACTTTGTTTAGGAAATGTTGCTTCGTTTGTAATTATTTTTAATATTTACAACCCCTCCCTGCCCCCCCTCCAAAGACAAGAAGCTGTGTGGTACTTTTGCACTACATCTTAAATATTTTATGATATTCACAAGGCATTAAAAATACAGTGAGGACCAGAGTTGAGGTACGTGTTCAGCCACAGTGTTACAGACTACACAATGAACCAGCTTTACTGAGAACATCGGCCTCACTGTGCTGTAGTATTAATACTCTAACGAATACTGGAATATTCTACATCAAAATTCATCACCATCTGTTGATGATGATATGTTGTCTGTTTTTCTGCTCTTGTTTTATTTATTTATTTATTTTCAATCCACCTCCAAAACAAGAGTAAACAAATATCCGAGCGTTAAGTACTTCACTCTACTCTGCTGTCGCCTTTTCCACTTTAGGGAAACGTTGCATCGAGAAAACAACAGAGGTGAAAAGAAGGTCCAGCGTCACAGGAAATGTCAGAGATCCTGTTGAGACGTGAGACGTGGGAGGACATTGTTTGTTTCAAGTTGAGAGATGCTCCAAAGTAATGTCTGTCGCCCAGCACTGACAGGATAAGTGCAAGACTGGGTACAAACGGTGTAATTAAATGTTCTCTCACAGTCACACCAGAGGCCATTTTCTCTGTCACTTCTCAGGTCAGTGTTTTAAAAATGGCTGAGTGTCATTTCACCTCCTCACTTGACGGCAGCAGCAGCTTTTTTATTTTTTTTTTCTGACATTTAGTCTGTGAGAGGAGAAAAAATGTTCCTGTTTTAACGGAACAAATCTTTTAAAATGTATTATTTTTATAATAAAACAATTTTATAATAATTTAGTTTTTATATTTGTAGCTGTAACTGTTGATATTTATGTATCATAACAATAATATATAATAATTGAATAACCATGAGTCAAAGTCTGGGTGAGAATTAAAGGAGTTCAAACAGAAAAACATACATGTCAAAATGCCAGAGTGCAAATCAGGCCTCGTACGACTAATTCACTCTTTTATCTGTGTGAAAACTCTGTGAGGTCAAAGTCAAAGAAGACAAACATGTGGACAGAGCTTCGTTCTCTGGACTGTAGTGGATGTGCTGTACACACGGACGCCTCATCATAAAAACATAAATCAAGGTGAATCTGTGCCATGAACTCAAGAAAGTCCAGGAATAAAGAACAAATGTTACTGCAACATACACTCCTAGTGCTGTTACTGACTGAGGTGGAATGGATGAAAGCAGGACGGAGTCACAGGCGCTGAAGAAGCCGGTGTCAGTGAGAGGGCAGTTCTAAAGGTCAGAGGTCAGAGAACGCTTCCACAGGCAGCAAGAACTGACACGATGCAAGGACGGTTCTTGCATCCTGCAGACCAAGTGTTCGAGGCTGCTGCTAATGCAAGCTACAGAAATACAGCGTGGCCAACGTGGACAGGTGGACAGGTGGAGACGGGTCAGTGTCCAAACCCTCCAACGTTACTGGGTGGAGGACTAACGTTCTGTTTTATCTAGATATTTGTTTTTGTTTTTTTGAACACATAAAGGTTAATTCCAGCTGATTTATTTTCCATACTCTACACAGTGGTTCCCAAAGTAGGGAGTGGGGCCTTTGCTTGGACAGATCTGCTCAATGTTAAATGTCTGTAATGTTTACTGTCCTGCAGCAGCCGCTTCAGTGTTCACTGCTAACTTGCATTAGCATATTCTCGCCTCATGTTAATTGTGTATAATGCTTTTCACCACTTACCCGTAGGCGATGGGGGGGTTAGGGGGGGGCATGCACTTGTTGGGAGGTAGAACATGTTAGAGCACGGCAGCAGGGGTAAACAAGCACACACCTTCAGTGTGGGACACAGGCAAAGAGATCTCCATGCAAGCAGCAGACTGGGCCTTGCGGAACGGTGGTCGGCCGGGGCCTCTGCGGGTAAGCCGTGGCCCCTCGGGCCCCCCGGGGGCGCGGGGCTTCCCCGCTGTGCAGGGCTGGGAGGTAGGGCTAGTGCAATGTCCATTGACATGATCTGTAACAACGGGAAAGCATTAGCATCCAGGACAATAATGCTTTTCAACAAATTCTGATCCTCAAAAGTCATTCAGTGAAATGAGGCCAATGTTTCTACGTCAAAAAGAGACAAAAACAATGTCTGGGATTTCTAACCCTAACCTTTTACATTTTTACACCAGATGACTTGTGAAGATTGGTTTTATTTTCTAGTTTTAGAAAAGCAGGCAGATGTTCACGTTAGATCGAAGGATGAGGTGAAAGAGAGAGAGAGGAGAGAGAGGAGAGACACGGGGACAGCAGCGAAGACAAACATGAACAGATGTGGAGGCAGATTCACTCAGTTAACACCAGAAATAAAGGGCGCGTTACACTGACAGTTACCGTTACGTTTGGTCTAACAAAGAAAATCAAATCTGTTTGGAGGAAAAAAGAATTTAGAACATTCTTTGAAGTAAAAATTTAAAAAACTTCACTTGACTGGTCGGATGTCGGACACTCAAATAAAATCAAATAAAAATCACATTTTTGTCTAACATTATTATTTGATGGACCGGATTGGATGGTCCAGTGGACCGGATCCAGCCTGTGCACCGCCAGTTGATAATAACTATAGTTTGGTTCTCACACAGCAGAACAGAACAGAAGTCGTACTTCAATCCCTGTGACTGAAACTTCAGGATTATCACAGTGTGGCTGCAGAACCAACACGAGTCCGACTTCATGTTGTTGATGAATTAAAAAGAAAAAGAAAACCAAGTACTGGAATATTTTGTGTTTAGAACATTTTTAAAGGGGTGAGGGGGGGTGGTGAATTGGAGACACTGCAGATACAGCGTAGAGAGAGAGAAACCTGAGATTATGATGTGCAGTCGGCTGATGGAAAATCACAGGTTGTTGTGAAACTGATGCCTGTGTAAATAAGTAGCATTTGTTTTGCGTAGCAGATGTGGGGGGGGGGCGGGGGGGGGGGGGTGTCTGAAATGAAGATAGATCCACTAATGGAGGACAGAGGACTGTTCAGGAAATGATCCTGTTAAAATGAAGGAGGCAGTGAAGGGGTTAAAGAGTTACTGCAGAGCGAAGCAGTGGAAGAAGAAAAAAGGTTTCATGGAGAATCAGAGGATGGTCCAGTCATGAGAGAGAGCGACAGGAAGCCTCAAATTTATGGGCATGAGCTACAAATCACCTTTAGAAACACTTGCAAAATGTAGAAGAAACAAAGACAGAAATGAAAACGGTCAAAATGATCAGACACGTGAAGCCAGCGGTCTGAGCTCGTGGAACAGGAACAAACCAACGTTTGAGAAAGGGTTGAAATAAAAAAAAAAAGAAAATCTACAAAATGTGACAAAAGCAGAAAGTACTTCTTCAAAGTAACCGAGTAAAAAAAAAAACTGCTGGCTTTCGCCTACCGTACCAAGATCAGTCTTAAGATCTGTTGGCAGACTTAACTTTCTGCCGGGTCCCTTTACTGAAACAAAAAGATAGGAAACAAAGTAGCCGTTAATCCTCACAAATAAAAAGTAAAAAAAAAAAAAAAAAAAAAAAAATCAACCAAATAGAGACATATGATGAAAAAAAAAATGAAACAGAAATCAATTCAAATGAACAGAACATGCAGTTTCACAGTCAGGCAAAGACTCATGCTCCAGTTTAGTCCCCGGCCGGTGCAGAAGAAATGATCAAAAGTTGAAGCTTTCAAAGTGTTTGACCAGTTTATAATCCACCGCTTCTGTCTGGTTGAACTCACAACGAGACTTAAATTCAACATCGGTGTCAACACTGACCGAGGCGGTGGTTGAATAAATGACCCGGGTGTCGTTACATGGAAGGACAGACAGACACAGAGACAGGAAGTGTCCAAAAAAATCATACAGCAGAGGTCGGAACATTTTGCAAGCATTTTGCAGTAACTACAGAACTGCAAAGGTCAGAGTTGAGATGTCAGGGGTCACTTTCTCTCCTCAGGAGATTTGAATTATTGGATAAAGTGTAGGTGTGTGTGTGTGTGTGTGTGTGTGAAGAGGGGGTTTCAAACAGACAACATAAATCTCTCTTTTTTTTCCCTGAAACTCCTTTGAAAAATTAATGTTTTCTACTGTAGAGACGGAGGCAAAAAAAATAGGACAGGGATAAATTCACCTTTTTATTCTTTTCTACTTCACTGTTTTCCAAACTGAGTAATAGTAACAGGTGAAATGTTCAAAAATCTTCATCTTCAAAAGTAAAACAGCTAATGTTAAATTCCATCAAGCAAAGACTGAAGAACACTGTGGTTTCATCAGCACCACAGCTGGCCACTAGGTGGACACCATGCAGTTAGAGATGAGACAGTGATGACTGTTAGTGCAGAGGACACCAGATGAATCTGTGGACACACACACACACACACACACTAGGCCACAGCTAACATAGACAACAGTGAATTAGCATGTAGCCTTTCTTCCAGCGACAAACACTGAAGCTAACACGAGGCTACGACGAGCGCAGACAGAGAAGAAACGATCTCTAAGAACATCTTTCCTGAGGATCAACCCACCATGGATGTTTGGCTTCATGTTTCAAACATTTACCCCCCGTCAGCCGGGGCAGAGGAACGGTGTTTACACTGAGAACAACTTGGTTGACTGTTTTTCTGAAGAGACCAAATCCAAGTTGGAGAAACAACAGTTTAGTGTCGAGAACCTTTTTTTCAGTTTCTGGTCTATTTCATCCAAATTCAGACAGATCAGGTCGAGTACAAGTTACAGGATCAAAACCTGTTCTCTTTAGCGCCACCTGTGAGCCCCAATGGATGCCTTTTTCTAATTTAGTTATTAGACAATTGAGTTGTTGCATTAATTTATTTTTTGATATAATCCGATGAACATTTTTACTCGTTAACGTATCTATCCGATAATTCCTCCGTCCATCCACTAACAGTGATGTGATTATTAATCACGATTATTCATGATTGAAATGAATTGTGATTAAATGTTTGTCAGCACATCTTCATTGTGTTTTATTATTTTCTTTGTTGATTTTTATTACGACTCTAATCATTTCAGAGACATGAAAAGACTTGATGTGATGTGACACTGACAGTGCTGCTCACAGTGTGGAACAAACGTTGCCATGCAAGGTGCAACACACAACCAACCAACCAACCAACCAACCAACTTGTCCACAATAAAACAAAAAGAGACAAGGACAAAGGAAGGACAAATCCCGCTCTTGGTTTTCTTAAAATAAAATCCAATAAAAGCAGACGTCCATATAAGGGCAGGTCATGGTGGAACTTCCTTCCTCTTACCATTGTCCAGTAAGTAATAGACTGGACTGCAGTGGCTGGCTCTCAGACTGGCCACAGGTTCTGGCAGGACGCGTGCATCGTTGTGAAGGGATGATGGGTAATAAACTGGAATAGGAGATCCAACAGAACAGACACAGACTTTCAGGGATTACAGGGGGGAGACAGGCGGGGGGGCGGGGGAGAAATCAGAGTCTAGCATGTGAGAGGGGGGAGAACAGTTGATAAAAAACCAACAGTGAATAAGGAGGTTGTTTCAGCAGCAACAATAACAACACGAGTTTGAAGATATGAACTACGCTGACCCCTGACCCCTAAACACTGACCCCTAAACACTGACAAGCCAACTTCACCCCCTGACCACTGACTGCACAATGACCAAAATGAAGCCAACTTCAGCAGAGATGAAGCATGAGTTCAGTTCCATCACCACCGTAAAGTTACTGTCTCCGCTCATGTCCCCGGTGCTAAATATAACCTGTTGGCTCAGAGACCCATTACTGGCAGCTCAGCTCGTTAGTCCACGGCCCTGTGACTGTCACCCCTGTTACGGAGTGGACATTCACAACCCTGAACCAAAACAATAAGAGCCGAGGACGGGAGCAAAATGACTGGAGGGTGACAACCCTCTGGCAGGAGGACCAATTAATGGACCATCAGATGAAAAGAGTGAGGACAGAAACGACACACCTGCTGTAGTGACACGAAGAGACGGAGAGAAAATGAGTTTACACTTCAGCAGAAGGAAAACAAACCACGACCTCCTGACCCCTCAGACCAAGACACAACAATGGAGTCTTGTTCACCTGCAGCCAGATGATTCAAACATGTTACTTTTTTACTTTTTTATCAAAGAGATCTGTTTGGAAAGGTCTCAAAAACAACTGCATGAAGGGACTGTGGTGCCACAGACACATAGGATCAGGATACAACACCATCTACTGTGATGTAAACTGTTGGCCTTCCTGCTTTTTCATCTTTCTCTGCAGTGAAGTTGAGATGAGCTGAATGCCGTGTCCTAGTTTCTCTGTCCATTATTCTTTTTTTTTCAACCACTTCATTTTGCTAATTAGATATGTGACAGGCCTGTAATTGGACAGAATGACCACGATGTCGTCAACATCACAGAGTAAAGAACGTTCTGTTCTGGAGCAGGTTTTTTCCTACAGATCCTCAAAAAGAGGCTGGAGAAGAGAACGTTAGAGCTTTAGAAAAAGAAGCTTAACATGGAATTAGGCTAAGAAACAAACAAACAATATATTTATATATAATCCAGTTCCTTATAAACAATAACATTGAAATCAGAGAAGATCCATAAGGACTTCTAAAGAACTGGTTCATCTGTATTTATATTTTCCATTCTGGTCAGAACATTTGTTCCTGTTATTGAGCAGTGATCTCTGAGTCACTGCTGAGTCACAGGGTTCTGCCTCCTGTGGATTACCACATTGTTCTCTTCATGCTGCGGCGCCAACCTGTGTTTACCTCGGGAATATGTATGAGAGTGACACCAATCAGCTCCGGTGATTGTCCTCAACATTTGAGTTCTCGTCAACAATCGTTAACGTCGGCACGCTTTAAAAGTGACTTGGAAATTAGTTCAATCCAAAACTACGGTGACATCACCACAACCGCCGCCCCCGCAGCAGCGGCAGCGGCAGCCGCAACACGAGCAGTCAGCAGAGCTAACACTGATGTCAAGTGTCGTCATGGAATCCTCCTCCAGCCAAACTACCTTTACTTCCAAAGTACTTCAAGGTATTAGCTCATGCATTTCCACCAAGTCAGACCAGTGCCCCCGGTGGCAGAGCCCCGCCTCAGAGAGGAGTATTTAAAACACACAGAGATGATGAAAGGGAATATTTCAGCAGCGTTTAGAACCGTTCTGATTGATGTTCAAACCTTGATGTAAACCTGATGTAACGTCAGCCTCGGTGAACCTGTCAGTCCTACTGCACTGCCAGTGAAAAGGAACGCTAACGTCTGTGAGTCCGTGTGTGACCTCTAACGTTTGTTTGAAAGTCACATTCTAGAGCAGGGGTGTCAAACCTAGGGCCTGTTGTAGAAGGAAGACTGTGTAGATGTTACTTCTCCATAAAAACTTGTCTTTTTGTCCTGCGGGCAGCATCTGGCCCGCAGGCCTTGGCTTTGTTACATGTGCTCCAGAGAGACAGTCTGTTTTTCTTCTAGAAACCAAAGCAGCTCTGTGTTAGACCCAAGTGTCATTTCTCACAAACCAGACGTTCTGCTACACAACGTCATCAAAGACGTCGTCTCAGCATCAAACCAGAGCTACAGGACATGCAACAAAGACCAGGGCAGAAGTGGAGAGAACGAACCAACACAGCAGGTCAGAAGAACCAACACAGCAGGTCAGAAGAACCAACACAGCAGGTCAGAAGAACCAACACAGGGTCAGAAGAAGAAGAACCAACACAGCAGGTCAGAAGAACCAACACAGCAGGTCAGAAGAACCAACCCAGCAGGTCAGAAGACCCTGAACTGAGCAGCAGGACGACCTCACGGTCACATAGTAAAAAACTGTTGTTCAGGTGGAGGAACTTACACAGAGGGTCAGAGTTACAGTCTTCAAAGACAGGAGGTTCCCAGGAAACACTTTAAATATCAAATGAAAGAGAGAGAGGGGGGGGGGGGGGGTGAGCAGCTCTCCTGCAGTGGGAGACTTGCTTCTCTCCATGTCAGTGGACTGCTGGTTGTCGGAGAGTTCTGTAAGGCCTGCCGCAGCCAAGAGGAGGAAGAAGTAGAGAGTCAGTCAGGGTCAGAGGTCGTACGAACTCAGAGCAGCCAAACAGGGGGCGGAGCCAAGTGTTTGAGACCACTCTGAGTTTTTAGCCAAAGAAACGTTTTGGTTTTTGAATTTTTTTTTTTTCACAAACTGATCACAGAAACCCATGGTACTGATTGAATGGATAAAACAACCAAGAAACAGAGAGAACAGAGAACGAACTGGTCATGCTTCAAACACACACACACACACACACACATCTGCTGCAGCATCAGAGCCGTGTTCAGCATTGGTCCAGTCTACTGTAATCACAACAATCCCAGTTCAGTCAATACTTCAGTGGCTGCTTTGAAATCAGTGCTCATCAACTGGTGGCTCGAGGGCCCAAACCGGTCCGTGACTGGACGTCAAATAATAAACAAAAATGTGATTTTCATTTCATTTATCTGAAATATACAGTAGAGAATCATGACTCAATGCATGAACACAACTTTATGCCTCACGGTGATGATACAGAAACTAAATATATATAAATATATAAATATATAAATATACAGTGTGTGGTTTTAACAACAGAAGAAGAACTGGAATAAACACCAGAGATCATCACATCAATCATTACTTTGGTCCAAGTTCAGTTGATTCCACC